AGAGTTGTCTTACACATTGAGACTGCAGAATTTGTTCCTGATGATACAGAATTAACCATATATATATATATATGGAAGTATGTTGGAAGCTTCAGAATTTCATAAGAAACATCATGTTAATGGCAAAGGTTTAAATAAAAGAGGGATTTTTCTATCATTTGGCAACAAGCCAAGGAAATAGTAAGAAACTGCCCCACCTGTTCATTCTATAATCAAACTCCATTACAGTAATCTCAAAGGTATTCACAGAAATGAAATTTGGCAAATGGATGTATTTCATTTTCCAGAATTTGGAAGTTTGAAATACATACACCATACCATAGGCACATTCTCAGGCTTCCAATGGGCTACTGCCCTCAGCTCTGAAAAGCCTGATTCTGTTATAACACACCTCTTAGAGGTGATGGCTGTTATGGATATACCAGCACAAACAAAACCCAACAATGCTCCAGCATATGTCTCCAGCAAATTGAAACAGTTTTTCACATATTAATAACATAAAACACTTAACTGGTATACCTCACAATCCTACAGGACAAGCAGTGGTTGAGAGATCTAACTGCACCTTAAAAGAAATGCTTCATAAACAGCCAGGGGCAACAAAGACCCCCAAACAAAGATTACATAATCCTTTACTAATGTTGAACTTTCTTAATGCTAATGAAAAAGGACAAACAGCTGCTGAAAGACGCTGAACTACAGAAAAAACTTCTAAACTAAACTTACTTGTGTGTTTCAAGGATGTTATGACCTCAGTCTGTAAATCAGGGTATGTGTTACGTTTGGGGAAGGGGTTTTGTTTCCACAGGAGAAGAAAAGCTTTGGATTCCATCAAAATTAATCAAGAAGAAACCTCAGGAGGAGGAAAGATGACAGCTCATCCGTAAAGTCATATTCTACAATGTGTAAGGTGACCTCACAAAGGAAGGGAAGTGTTTTCCTTTTGTCTTCACAGGAAAACTCAGCTCCAAACGGCGAAAAATACTGGACATATGGATACCTGAAGAAGAATGGATAGCTACCCGAAGGACCATCAAACAAACAATAATCCACTGTGTGGTATCAATGTCTAAATCTCTCTATTTTGTTCTTATAATATCCATTTCTCCTTGCTTGTTAATACTCTTTTAGTCCCAACTCATTTAACTGAAGCTGACTTTGGAGTTGGAGTGGCTCTCCCACTCTAAATCCAAGCATGTTGTTGAAGTAAAATTCAGGATTTCTGTATTATATCAAATGGTCAATGATATAAGACAGAAGGAAACAATATTAGGGACTGTCATCTATTTATACTCGGTTCCTTTTCTGAAAGTCTAATCTCCTTCATGTTTACTATCTTCCTTACTGTTGCCTTTCCCAGTAGGCATACATATAAAATTGAAAATTTCTCTGTTAACATTAATGCTTGAGTTTTCCAGAGAACAAGGAATTTCCTGACAGCAATCTTCAAACACTTGGGAAAGAAATTAGGGTCCCACTTCATTGACTCCACCTGATTCGACTTGATGCATCTGAACTGCCCCACATCATCGACTCCACCTGACAAGTACCATCCTGAAACTGGTTTGGGACTGCATCATTCTGCACAACTCCAGACCAATGAACCGACTCGGTGCACCTTCTACACTCTGGCCAGAGCTTCAATCAAGCATCTCCTGCCAAACAGAGACTATTTAACCTACTTAAGATTCTTGTTAACGCTAACATTTTCTTCCTACAGGTTCCCATGAGATTGTTATCATCCCATTTCAACAGGAAGTAATTTTGTGAATACTATGCCCCCCTTTCCCTACTGTTGATATCACAGGATAGTTTACACCTGTTAGTGTTAGTTTTCAATTATTTCAGGGTTGGGATTGGAAGGAGGTGTTCAGACTTGGGCATATCTTTCAAATAATCTTAGGTTTAGCTAGGATAGATATGCTTAGGATAGGATATGGGTGGATTATAATTTGTGTATCATCTATATATACATGCTTTATATATGTTTGAGACATTTTGTTTATTGACACTATTTAGTTTTGTCTTAAGTCTAAATCTTTTCTTTAGACTAAAAGGGGAATTGTAGGGAGTGATTTTATGTATCCATAAGCGCTGACCACTCCCGAGTGGGTGTGTTCATCAGTATGTAGAACGTATGGTGATAAATAGAGGTGGGGGAGGGAACTCTTTCTCTTTGGGTTTCCATTCCGACCTGGAGAACAGTGTGTGGACCAGCTTTATTGGCATTTCACGTAAGTGATTTGTCTTTAAATAAATATCAAAGGACATCCCTAAATTTGTGTAGTTTAATATTTCTGCTTCACTGTGGTGTGACCTGTATGGCCTGATGGCTTCAATGTGCCTCCTGTATGCTTAACCCCCACCAGAGTTGTTATCATCCACATTAGGGCTCCCCTGGGTGAACTTAGGACCAAGGTCAGGGTGGTACTGCTTCCTAAAGGGCCTACTGTGCAGTGCTATCTGTGGTGCCAGCTGCATGCTGCATGTAGGATTTGGCAAGACCAACAGGCTAGCCCTTGGACCTCTGAGAGCAGGGAGTGAGCAGGAGACATGCCAGCGTCCAAGTATGTATGTCCTGCACATCTTAGGGTGACCACCTGCTCTGGGACCAGCTGGGCTTGCTGTAGTCCTGCACGACCTCTTTGTCTAGTTCATGGATGTTGTGATGTGATGGTGGCCTTGAGGAGTCCACCCCATCTAACCCCTAGTACACCAAGCCCTTCCGTTCCACACAGGGGCCCGGCCCCACTCCATCACAGCCTCACCTGTAAGGCCACAGCACCTGTCCCCCTGGGAGAGTTCCTGGCTCCTCCCATCTTATTCTGGGTGCCTCTCCAGGTGCTACTCTCCTATGCCAGGTGCTGGGTTCCGGGGGTTGCTTTGTGGAGATTGGCTCTGGATCATGGGGCTTCTGTTGCCTCTGTCTGTGTGTTGGCACTACCTTCCCTTTCCACTTACTCTCTGACAGCCCCAGGAGATGCCTAGTGTCCAGCGCCCCGCAGGAGCTGACCCACAGTGAGCAGTCCCGTCATTGTGTGTGGTGAGCTGTCTCCTCACAAACAGACACCTCTTCCCAAAGCCTAGGTTCCCACCTCAGCTGCCATCAGCCGGCCCTGGCACGTCCAAGAGTCCAGGACAGAATGCTCCATTTCACACCTTGATCCTCTTCATAAAGATCTCAACTACCCAGCACAGTGGACATTTCTACCTCGTGGTAGCCAAACACCAACATCAACAAGTGTGCGCTAACACCCTCAAGTGGCTCTGTCAGGACTGTAATACGATGGGGACAAAGACCAGGAGGGATGTTCCTGCCTGAGAGGAAGGATGGGGCTTCTCAGATGTGTTCTGAGAGGATGGAGAAGGAAGGCACTGGCCAGAGGCTCTGAGCCAGCAGGGGCTCCCCATCCCAGCAGGTGGGGGCAGGCACAGTTGATGGGGAAGTCCCTCTGTGTATATGTCAATAAAGCACTGTTGGCCAATAGAGAAGCAAGATAGGTAGGACAAGGAGTCTAGGAGGATTCTGGGAAATGTAGTGAAGAGACTCGTCACCATGTGACCTCCCTGGAGCAACGGGTGCTCAGGAGTGCGTCCTCAAAAAGATAAGTCCTTATAAAATATATATTAGATATATTAGTAATTGTGGATTAATAATCAAGTCAGAGCTAGCTGATAAGAAATCAAGCAAATGGTCAACAGCTTCATAATTAATACGGTGTCCTGTGTGTTATTTGGGGGCTGAAAGCAACAACAGGGCCCAGGCGGCTGGCAGGAAGAATACACGATACACACGGTAATCTCAATATGGAAACGGTCACAGTTCTGGAAGGGCTGGGTGTATGCTGTACCTCTGCCTCACCACAGTGTCCTCTCACTAGGGAAGGGGTGGAGTCATTAAACTTCACACAGTTTTGGCAATGGCAAACTGTAGAGAACAGGGCCCTGGGAGGCGAACGTACTACACACGGGAAAGGGATTTGTCTGGACCACCCGAGTGCCTCGCCCTGCTTTTCAGGTCTTTCCCCCAAGCTCCTCTCCTTGACATTTTAACCCTGATGGGGGTGGGAGGAGGACTCACCCACTGCCTGAAACCAGCAGGTGGTAACTTTCGGTGTAGCCTGAAGCTGACCTGCATTTCTCGTTCATCCAGGCTTGGCGATTAGGTAAGAGGGGACATGGCTATTACCAAGGGCTCTGTCTGCATCCCCAGGGCTCTATCTGCATCCTGGCGGACACATTGTTTGCAGGTCTGCCCCAGAGCAGCTACACTTTGGGAAGGCCCTGAAGTCTGGGCTCTAACAAGCCTCCTGGGGGCACTGATGCTTGCTTCCTCTGAGAGCCACTGACCTGCAGGAAGAGTGACACTGGACCTGGGCAAGTTATTTAAGTGCCTATTGTCTCAACTGTGAAATGGGGACTGAGTCCCTGCTGCACAATAGGAGGGCAAGGGAGGAAGGGGAACACCTGTCTAGTGCTCCTCCTTCCCACCAGAGTGCCACTGAAGCAGATGCAGACCTCAGACCCCTCCTGTCCTGGTCAGTTATGCAGGCTCACAGATGTAGCGGAATGGCCGACGGCCGCTGCTGTGCAAGCTCAGGAAAATAGTGCATCCATGGGAGGGGAAGAAAGATGTGACCCTGAGTCTGAAGGGGAGCTGCCCAGGGCTGCTGCACTTCTCATTAGTGCAGGTCCCTCCCACTCCACCTGCTATGCTAACGGTGACCTTAGCATAGCAGGTGGAGGATCTTTTCCCATGAAAACATCTACCTTCATCTCTTGGGTTAGTACCACTTAGACAGCAGACGATCAAGTCAAGCTTCCAGTCCACAGGGCCTCCCTCAGTCTAGTTCTGACACATGCTGGGACTCAGAGGGGGAACAGGATCTGGGTCACAATTGCCGGATTCAGGGTCATGTCCCCATTCTGGAAAGCAAGACCCAGAGTCTGTCCCTGGGGGCACTGTGTGGATTAGCTCAACGCCGGTGGACACAGCATACCTGAGAAGTCGTATCTGATGAGGCCCATCCACCGTTTCTTTTCACTGTCCTTGATTAAGTCCCCGTAGAAGCCGTAGCCCAGCAGAGACACGGAGTACCGCAGCAGCGTACTGTTGTGGTGCACAGAGGATACGTCTATGGCCAGTGAGTCCCCTGTGGGAGAGGAGAGCTTTAATCGAGCCCTGTCCCCACTCTGACCTTCTTTGCCCTGCCTCCAAATACGCAGGAGGTGCCTGCCTGCTGCAAACACAAGAAACAGAACTCGCTCAGTGTAGCAATCTGGGTGACAAAACTCAGATGTGATAGTGGTTATCTGGCTGTGGCATCTGTCATGCCATTGCGTGCACCAGGGTGGAATTGGTGATCTGATAGGTTAGGTGGGTGTCCCCTTCCCCTTCATTGCTTCATCTGTGTCCCTCCCAGAGCTGCTCACTCAGTCAGAGAGGATGACCTGGATAGAGGAGGATCATAGGTCCAGGGTACATGCTGGAACCTCTAAACAAGTTCCAATGACAAAATTTGACTCCAATTTCCAAGTAAGGACTGAGAACTGTTCTGAAGGGATGGACCATGTCCAGGAGGGCTGTGCATGTTACTGATGGAAAGAAAAGTAGACTTGAGGGTGAAAACAGGTACGCAGCTCTTAAAACACAAGGTCAGCCAAATGTGGTGGTGCACACTCTTGCATTCCCAGCACCCAGGAGACTGAGGCAGGGGACTGTGAATTTGAGGCCAGCCTAGGCAATATAGAAAAGGCTTGTGTCAAAAAAAATTTGCACTCGGGAAGCAGAAGCAAGACAGATCCCTGTGAGTTTGAGGCCAGTCTGGTCAAGACACTAAGTAGCAGCCAGCTGGAATTACATGAGACCCTGTCTCAAACAAACAAATAAAACCAAGCCAACAATAAAATCCCAAGTGGTCATTTTAAAATACAGCATTTCTATGACTACAAGTAAGACGTAACCCTGTCAAGAATGATGGGGTGGGCAGGGACAGCAGCCATTTCTCAGAAACTCCAACGCTCCTCCTGCAGGGTTTCTCACTTGGGACTGGATGTGTCTGTTACTCAAGTAGTAACTCACCCTGGAGTCTTGCAGGTTTCACAATGGGGATTAGCCCTGGTAGACAGCTAAGGGAGGAGAGCAAGGGAGAGCCTGAGATAGCAAGGGGCCTGGAGTCTGTACATGGAGCACCCACATGTTTAAGACAGGACTTGGGGCCGGAGAGTTGACTCAGGGTTAAGAGCATTTGTTGTTGAGAAGGACCTGGGTTTGATTCCCAGCACCCACATGGAGGCTCACCACCATGGTAAAACACTGATATACATAAAATCTAAAAACTTAGGAAAGTAAGACTCACTCACCAACAATAATGTGCAGAGCTGATGTCACTGCATCGTTTGTTCCCACTGTTGAGTAACACACACAATCTGTGGACCCTGCAAGGAGGACAGGAAAGCCCTTAGTGCGAATGGAACTGTCCAAAACCATAACTGACTCCCAGTCAGCTGGTCCTGTCCTTCTCTGGCCCTGGAACAGCTGGAGAGTAAAGAGAATCCACCAGAAAAAATGAAGGTTGTAAATACTGAAAATGGCCTTATGGTAATGTTGCATTGTTCATAAAGTGGCTTGCAGCACACGCACCCAGACACAGAGACCACCCTGAACCCTCTAGGAGCTTCTAAGAGATGTCAGCAGTGCTGGCAGCCTCTTCCCTTCCTTTGAAAGCTCTGGAAGGTATGTGGCCCTGCCCACCTCCATGTAGCTGCCAGTAGTGTGGCATAGCCAAGTCTAGACCTTAGGAACAAGGGGAGTCCAGCACAGAGCACCGCCATGGGGAAGCACTTGTCACACAAAGTGAACTGGGAGGGTCTTAGCTTTTATTGTCAACTTGACACAACCCAGAGTCACCTAGGAAGAAGGAACCTCAAGTGAAGGACTGTCTCAATCAGACTGACCTGTGGCCATGTCCCAGAGTACCCAGCCCACTGTGGACGGCACCATCCCTAGGCAGATGGGCCTGGGCTGTATAAGAAAACGAGCTAACTAAGTAGGTTTCTGCTTCAGTTCCTGCTTGAGTGAGAGCTATCCTGACTTTCCTTAAGGATGGATTGTGACCTGGAAGTGTAAGCTGAATAAACCCTTTCCTCCCTAAGCTGCCTTTTATTTGGAGGGGGAGGGGGTTCGAGACAGGGTTTCTCTGTGGCTTTGGAGGCTGTCCTGGAACTCCCTCTTGTAGACCAGGCTGGTCTTGAACTCACAGAGATCCGCCTGCCTCTGCCTCCCCAGTGCTGGGAGTAAAGGTGTGCGCCACCACTGCCTGGCCATCCTCATCCTCTCTACTTGGTGAACAGGGGAGAATTGCATGTCCCAGGCCCCTGGTACTACCTCCCTTGCTCAGCCTAGCCAGCCACTGTTCCCATGATTGCACTGACTAATCAGTTCCCTCAGAACCTTCCTTGACTTCAGGCTGAGGGGCAAAGGTGTCCACTACCACCGCCACCCTCATCCCTACTGTACTGTCCTGCCTGCCACTCAGCATGGGAGCTGTCACCTGGTTGAAACAGAGCTGGGCAGAAGTCAGAGCTGAGTCAGCACCCCGAGAGTACTCTGCCAAAGAAACTCATTTTGTGCTTTAAGGACATGAAAGAAACCTCGGGGCTTTTGAGCCAGCTGGATCCAGTGGAGGCCACACAAAGCCGTTGCTTCAGATTCCATCCCAAGGACAGGCGGTTCACAGTCCACTTGCTGTTCCTCTGTGAAGAGGCGGCATGTGGTCCCCAAGGCTTTCATTCGCCACCCTAGTGACACGGCCAGGCACTACCTTAGCATGGAGGGTCAGGTCAAAAAGAATGGTCTGTGCTCACAGTAACACTTGGCTTTCCCAACATGCTGGATGGTGGGGGTTCTCTGCCTGCTTAGCCCACAGGCCAGCAGCCAGCTGGACCACAGTACTGGTGGCAGAGCAAAGATCAAGTTTTGGACACGGCTCCTGCTAAGCAGAGGCCAGCTCCCAGAGCCTCTCTGAATAGCATCACGCATTATTCATGTGGCAACTTCCACAGAATCAGGGGCTCCCCTGTGGTCCCACAGGTCACTCTGATGGCCGAGGGGTGACTAGTAAGGGACCTGCTAACAGCAAGGGCTCTTCATCTTTGGCTAGGAAACCCAACTTGTCTTCCCTCAGGGTCTCTTAGCCCGCTTGCCTTCATCTTAGAGCGTGCTCATCAAGCCAGCCAATCAAGCCTGTCGAAGAAGCTTCTCCCTCAGGCACAGCTAATGTCCCACCAAAACTTTCCCCAAAGTACCTTCACAGACACACCCAGGAGTGTGCTTTTCCAATCTCTTGAGCTCTCACCCAGTTGAGGTAAAAGTCAAGATCATCACACTGTGTTTTCAAAGAACTAGGAACTTTCTAGAAAGGCATCTAACACAGCAAGCCAGACAGACACCCTCAGGACTCAGGCCCCCACACCTTCCTCCCGAAATGGGCCAAGTCCTGTCCTGGCTTCTGCCACTGCCTCCTGTGTTCCTTCCTGAGGTTCCAGGATTCCTGGTCAGGTTCCTCTAACCCACACCAGCCCCAGATCCCAGCTCTCAGGTCCGTTAGCAGCCACTTCTGCCAGACAGCCACACCAACAACCTGTTTCTGTCTCCAGGGACCTCCGGACTCCAGGCTAGCAGCCCCACCGGTCCTCAGATGTTGGCAGGGACTGTCCTGTGTGCTGCTGAGCCTCTCAGGGCGCCCGGATAAGAGTCCTCCTAGATGCACAGTCGTGTTCTTTCTGCTATTCATAACTTAGTTCATGGAAATGAGGGGAGTTATGAGAAACTACTTATAAAAATCACTTTTTTAGATGGGTGGTTGTGGTACATGCCTTTAATCCCAGCACTTGGGAGGCAGAGGCAGATGGATCTCAGTAACTTGGGAGGCAGAGGCAGATAGATCTCAGTAAGTTGAAGGCCAGCCTGGTCTATAGAGTGAGTTCCAGGACAGCCAGGCCTGTTACACAGAGACCCTGTCTCAAAAAACAAAACAAAAAAAAAATCACTTTTTTAAAAAAAAAAAAACAGGGTCTAGTGTTACCCAGGCTGAACTCACTATGTAACAGAGGGTGATCTCCAACTCCTGAATCTCTTTTCTCTGCCTCCTGATTGCAGAATCACAATTTAAATGAAGAATGGACCAGGAGTGATATCCCTACCCCCACTTGAAAGCCTAATCCTAAGGAAGCGTTACTAGTGACGTGGGGGAGATACGACCGTAGGATTGGACATGCCCTGTGGCTGTGCATGGAGACCTCCTCCTAATGACAACTGTGAAGAGAAAGCCATACGTGTGTCATACCTGCAGGGATGATGCCAATCCTGAGGGTGCTGGGCACCAGCACGGCTCTGGGGTGATTGGGGTCGATGCCAGCACTTTGCTGTGTCTTCCCGATCACCCCGTGCAGCACCTCGCTGAACATGCCATCCCCGCCGACACACACGATGCTGCAGGAGGAGCACAGCAATGTCAAGCAGCAGCTGAAGGCCTCCAGTACTGGGGACAGGTTTCAAGACTAGCCTGTCAGACACCTGGAAACCGGGCACCTGAACCACTCCCTATTCGATGAGGCCCCACCAGCCTGCCAGTTCAGCTTTTCCAAACAACAGGATCCTTCACACCCTAGCTTCCCTGCTAGAGATGCAGCATTTTGGTGGTTTCTAAGCAGAGAGTATATGTATGCCTAACCACAATCAGCCATCATTGAAAACCTATGGTTTGGGGGCTGCGGAGATGGCTCAGATGTCAAGAGTATGTACTGCCCTTCCAGAGGACCTGGGTTTGACTCCCAGCACCCACATGGCAGCTCATAACTGTCTATAACTCTGATTCTAGGGAATCTGATCCCCTCTTCCACCTTCCATGGAACAGACACACACATGGTACACACACTTACATATATGGAAGCAAACTATCATACACATAAAAATAATTAAAAAAATAAAACAACAGGCTGAAGAGATGGGTCAGAGGTTAAGAGCACTGGCTGCTCTTCCAGAGGTCCTGAGTTCAATTCCCAGCAACCACATGGTGGCTCACAGCCATCTGTAATGAGATCTGGTGCCCTCTTTTGGCCTGTAGGCATACATGCAGACAGAACACTGTATACATAATAAATAAATGTTTTTTTTAAAAACTAAAATAAAAAAGCAGAGCTTGATCTGGGGTAACAGTGGCAGAGCACTCGCCTAACACACGAACACCCTGGGTTCAGCGCCCAGCACTGCAAAAAGTAGAGATTGAAGCTTAGAAAACACTGGATACTGACATTCAAGCTTGCTACCCCCGTGTGGCAGCACAGGCAGGGAATGACGTATGTTGTTCTTCTCTCGACCCAGCTGGGTGGCCTTGCAGTGCGCGGCAGTGAACCTCAGATGAGAGGGGAACACTGCCCCTGTTGTCACCCCCCAGACCTGGGCACGGTCTCAGGGACTCGGGAAACAGCAGCAGAGGGGAGCAAGTGAAATGAGTGGGCCAGGGGAGCAAACAGTGTGGGCAGGACAGGGTTTTACGGTGTGCTGTCCAGTGCCGGGGATGATGGCAGAGCGGCATGGAGAAATCTGTGCATGCATGTGGGGGACACGTGTCCTACAACAAGGAGGGAAGGTCAAGGACATGCTCACAGCCCAGGGCAACCCAAGAGCTCCCACATGGCTAGCATCCACTGTCTGTGACCATGGGGAAAGCAGGAGCAACTCACCCATCATAGCTGTCTGTGTTGATCTCAAATAAGGTCTCCTTGGCTTGATTGGCATGCTCAGTAACTGTGGGGGAAACGTCACAGGGGACCACTCATCTTCACATCGTGGAACCCATGTGTGCTAACTGCCAACTGATGCTACTTCATAAGAGGAAGTCCCATCTCAGTCCTACCTCACTCCTTCTTACAAAAGAACAAGGCAGCCTCCATGGGAAATAACCATCTTAGGATCCATTCTAACAGGCAAGACCTGACATTCTTCACACTTGTCAAGAACTAATTTCTTTTATGTTTAACTCACGTGCACGAGTGTCTGCCTGAATGTATGTATGAGAACCATGTACAAGCAGCACCCACAGAAGAGCCCAGTGGATCCCTCAAGACAAGTGTTACAGGTGGCTGTGAGCTGCTATGTGAGTGCTGGGAATTGAACCCTGGTCCTCTGCAAGAGCAGCAAATGCTTTTAACCACTGAACCATCTCTCCAGCCCCCACAAATAATTTCTTTGGCAGCAATTAGAATAAGTGCAGCCTCTGTTACACTTACTCTTAGTATACAAGTTATTTTAAACTTTTCAGAATACATCAGAATGTAAGAAGATAAGGCAGGGGAGCTGGAGAGATGGCTCAGGGGTTAAGTGTACTGGCTGCTCTTCCAGAGGTCCCGAGTTCAATTCCCAGCAACTACATGGTCACTCACAACCATCTATAATAACAGCTGGTGCCCTCTTTCTAGCATGCTATTGCTAATTAGCTTTATTTTATTTATTTTTGGAAGCAGAGCCTTACTATGTGACCAGGCTGGCCTCCAATACATAATCCTCCTGCTTCAGCCTCCTGAGTGTTGGGATTACAGTCAGGGTTAAGTGTCTTGCTAACAGGGTCATACCAAGGCCCTGAAGGCCAGCAGGAGCAACAGACCATGTCTGTCTCCCTCTCTGAAACCAGCATTGCACTGATGACTGACTGCTATGACATGGGGTTAAGTCATGCTTTGTAAAATGACCCACACTGTGACATTCTGAGACGTCCACTGCTCGTATCTCTTCCTGCAAGGACTTCCTGCCCTCAAACTCTGTTCTTTAATCTCCTTGTTGCTCCTGTGAGTACTTTATAGAGGAAGTGCATTAAGTACATTATTCTTTTGCACTCTTCTGACTGAGAACTGAGTTTGAAAAGATCATCTAGGCTAAAGTCCCCTCCATAGGTGGTGTGTGAGTCCCTCTCAGGCTGGCCTCTGCATACTTGCCCGGGTGCCCAATACACTTACTGATGATTTCTGTGGTGATGGAAGCCAAGGTGAACAGAGGTGCCACTTTCTTCTCATAGATGCTCTTGCCCTGACCTTTTCCTCCGAAAGGGTTGATGAATACCAGCAAGTGCTTTGGTCTTGAAGCTACAAAACAACATCCACACCGGTCAGTCACAATGGGCGCAATAAATTCAAGCTCAATTAGTGCGCTGCTAGTTAAGAGCAAATGGGTTTTGACAAAGAATTTTTGGTCATCTGGGGCTGGAGAGATGGCTCAGTGGTTAAGAGCACTGGCTGCACTGGGCGTTGGTGGCGCACACCTTTAATCCCAGCACTCGGGAGGCAGAGGCAGGTGGATCTCTGTGAGTTCGAGGCCAGCCTGGTCTACAGAGTGAGTTCCAGGACAGGCTCCAAAACAATACAGAGAAACCCTGTCTAGGAAAAAAACCAAAAAAAAAAAAAAAAAAAAAAAAGGCACTGCTCTTCCAGAGAACCAGGTTCAATTCCTAGCACCCTCATGGCAGCTAACAACTGTCTGTAACTCACATTTCCAGGGAATCCGACTCCCTCCTTAAAAATAAATAAATAAATAAATCCTTTTAGAGAGAGAGAGAGAGAGAGAAAAGTTACAGAATTCTTGATCATCAAAGGACAGTAAGGGATGCATTCCTGAGTGACCTCTAAGGCAAAGCCAGACAGGGATGTCACAAAAAGGAAGTCACATGCCCACCTGCTTCTCCCTCAACCTAGGTGAGAACTCTTAAATGAGGTGTCAGGAAGTCAGATGCAGGGATACAGAAAGGTCACAGGTAAGATGGCTGCTCCAGCAGGGAGAGTGTTAACAACCAGACCCAAGTGTGTTTTACTAACAGTCCTTAAATCCAACATCTGTGACAAAACAAACAAACAAAACCAACTCAGAAAATTAGGTTCCTCTAGGCAACAAAGAAGACCCAAAGAGAGACATACATGAATCAGCCTAGGGAGGGGAAAAAAGGCAAGATCTTCTGAGTAAATTGGGAGCGTGGCAGGCAGAGGGGAGGGTGAAAGGGGAGAGGAGAGGAGAGAAGGGGAGTGAGGAAAAAATGTATAGCTCAACAAAAAATGGCAACAAAAGTAATAAATAAACTTCCAATTTAAAAAAAGAGAGAGAGAGAAAGAAAATTAGTTCTTTAGAGGAGAATTCCCTTAATGTGAAGAAGCTGAGGGAGCCCTTCATCCCTTGTACTGTATCTCCAAAGTCAGGACTGAGCCACCAATGTCGCTGTCATGCTGCACTGGAGTCCAGCCTGGGCAGCATGCGTGGAAAGGAAAAGAAGGAGGTGATCTATGAAGGCCTTAGTATTAATAAGTAGGTATGACAAGGAGAACCATGAATTTCTATTAAATGTCTACACACAAGCAATAAAAAAGGAAGGAAGGAGAAAGAAAAGAAGGAGGGAAGGAAGGAGAAAGACAGACAGACAGACAGACATTCCTATAATCCTAGCACTTAGGAGGCTGAGGCAGGAGGATCATGAGTGTGAAGCCACCTTGAACTACATAGTGAGGACTCTCACTAAATAACACACAACTGGCCTGTGAAAACGTGAACGTGTTTGTCAAGCATCAGAAAGATGTAGATTAATACCATAATATAAAGCAACTAATCCCCGCCACACAGACTGTGGAGCCAGTGGAAGGGATGCAGTGGCGGTGTGTGGAGAGTCCACAGTCCAGTCTCAGCACACTCTGGAGAAATTCTATAGGCACACAGGGACACATGCGGGGATGGTCTCTACACTACTATCCAGGCTGGCGCAGAGGAAGTCATGAATATGAGCCTCAGCAGGGAGTGACTGTACTATCAGGCTATGGGTGCTGGGCAGTCGTAAGAATGAACAAACAACCATCATCTACTATATACAGACGATAAAAGGTTAGGATCAACATAGTAAAAATGGCAATCTTAATGAAAGGAATATACAGATTTAATGCAACCCCCATTAAAATCCCAGCACAATTCTTCACAGACCTTGAAAGAACAATAATCAACTTTGTATGGAAAAACAAAAGACCCAGGATAGCCAAAACAACCTTATGCAACAATGCAACATCTGGAGGCATTGCCATCCCTGACTTCAAGCTCTATTATAGAGCTGTAGTCCTGAAAACAGTTTGGTATTGGCACAAACATAGACAGGTAGACCAACGGACTCGAATTGAACACCCGGATATTAACCCATACATGTATGAACATCTGATTTTCGACAAAGAAGCTAAAATATATACAATGGAAAAAAGAAAGCATCTTCAACAAATAGTGCTGGCATAACTGGATGCTGGCATGTAGACGAATGGGGATAGATACATGTTTATCACCATGCACAAAACTCAAGTCCAAATGGATCAAAGACCTCAACATAAATCCAGCCACACTGAACCTGTTAGAAGAGAAAGTGGGTGGTACCCTTGAACAAATGTACAGGAGACAGCTTCCTGAACATAACTCCAATAGCACAGACACTGAGATCGACAATTAATAAATGGGCTCCTGAAACTGAGAAGCTTCTGTAAGGCAAAGGACACAGTCAGCAAGACAAAAATGCAGCCCACAGATTGGGAAAAGATAGTCACTAACCCCACATCTGGCAGATGACTGATCTCCAAAACTTACAAAGAACTCAATAAGCAAGTCTCCAAAACACCAAAGGATCCAATCAAAAAATGGGGTACAGAACTAAATAGAGAATTCTCAATAGAGGAGACTAAACTGGCTGAGAGACACTTGAGAAAGTGCTCAACATCCCTAGCCATCTGGGAAATGCAAATCAAAACAACTTTGAGATACCATCTCACTCCTCTCAGAATGGCTAAAATCAAAAACACCAATGACAGTTTATGCTGGAGAGGATGTGGAGAAAGGGGAACACTCCTCCATTGCTGGTGGGAGTGCAAACTTGTACAGCCACTTTGGAAATCAGTATGTAGATTCCTCAGGAAAATGGGAATCAGTTTACTACAAGACCCAGCAATTCCACTCTTAGGCATATACCCAAAAGATGCACATTCATACAACAAGGATGTCTGTTCTACTATGTTCATAGCAGCATTATTTGTAATAGCCAGAACCTGGAAGCAACCTAGATGCCCCTCAATTGAAGAGTGGATTGAGAAAATGTGGTACATTTACACAATGGAGTATTACTCAGCAGAAAAAAAACAATGGAATCTTGAAATTCACAGGCAAATGGATGGCACTAGAAGAAACCATACTGAGTGAGGTAACCCAGACAAAAAAAGAGAAACATGGTATGTACTCACTCATTTATGGATTTTAGACATACAATCCCACTGCCAGAGAGTCTAGGAAACAGAACCTTCATCCAGTGACTGATGAAAGCAGAGGCAGATACCCACAGACAAACGCTGAACTGAACTAGAATCCAGTGTCAGAAAGATGGGCAAAGGAGTTCAGAGTGGGCTGGTTTAACCCACAGAAACAGTTGACCTGAACAAGGGGGAGCTCTTGGACTCCAGATTGATGACTGTGTGGAAAGCATGGGACTGACCCAGACCCCATGAATGTGGGTGTCAGTGAGGAGGCCTAGGTAATCTATGGGGCCTTGGGTAGTATTTATCCCTGGCATACAAATAGAACTTTGAGTGCCCATCCCACAATATGGGAGGCTCTCTCAGCTGGGACTCTTGGGGTAGGGCCTAGGCTCTGACCTGGATGAAATGACAGTTACTGGAGATCCACCATGGAGGGCCTCACCCTCCTTGGTGATCGGAGTGAAGATTGGGTGGGGGGCTGGGGGACCTGGTGGGGAGGGCGTGGTTGGAGGGGAGGGAGAGGGATCTGGGATTGACATGTGAAACAAGATTGTTTCTAACCTTAAAAAAAAAAATGAACAACCACAGCCACACAGGATAAAGGGACCAGTTTTACATTCACAGTGTTCATTTCAAAGCCAGGTACGAAAGAGCAGATGCTGCTCCATTTTAATTTAGGAAGCAGAAAAGTAACAACGTCAACAGGGTCACGGTGACATCTGGGAAGAAGTGGGACCTGAGGACTGACTGCCCTGCCAGCCCTGAGTACTGTTACAGACGCTTAATGTGAAAACCCACACACTCAGAACACAACCACTTCTCTGGCTTATTCCAATAAAACATTCAACCAGGCCTGGGGAGGAGGCCGGCAGTGGAGAACTTCTGCTGTTTTTGCAGAGGGCTTGGGTAGCTCGGTTCCAGGGGATCCAGCACCGTCTTCGGGCCACTGTGAACAAATGTATGCACATAAATGGAGTCAAAGCACTCATGTACATAAGATAAAAATAAAAAAGGTTTAAGAGATACCTTAAGGGGCTAGGGTTGGAAAAATGGCCCATTAGTTTAGGGCACTGGCCACTCGAGCAGAGGACCTGGCTTCAATCACCAGCACTAACATGGTGGTTCACAACCACCTCTAATTCCAAATCCACGGGGGTGTGACACTTTCTTCTGACCTCCATGAGCACCAGGCATGCACACAGCATACTCGCATACAAGCAGGCAAAGCACACACAAAAAATAAAGTGAATAAGTGTAGAAAGAATTTTAAAAACACAGTAAGCATCTGGAGGGATGGTGCATTTGGTAAAGAGCTTACAAAGCAAGTACCAGGATCAGTTCAATTGCCAGAATCCATGCTCATAGTTTTCCAAAAGCCAGGGGGTGGCACGCGCGCGCGCGCGCGCGCACACACACACACACACACACACACACACACACATGGAACCCCAGTGCTGAGGAGGTGGAAACAATAGGACCCTTGGGGACCAGCTAGCCTAGAGTACCTATTTGGTGAATGTCAGGCTAATGAGAGACACTGTCTCAAAATAAAAGTTGGAAGATGCCCCAGGAATGAGGCCTGGGGTTGTCCTCTGGCCTCCATAATGACATGTGCATACACATACAGATTCAGGGACAGACAGGCAGACAGGCAGGCACACACACGCAGAGATAACAGAACTCGTAGCTTAAACTTGAGTGGCTGAGAACAGAGACTCATGTGCTGTTTGATGGCCGTGGGAGTTTTCTGTGAGCTATAGAGAAATAAATAAATCTCCAGTATTCCAGGGGAGTCTGAGCCTGGAGGACCAAGCCTGACTAATGACTCAGCCTCTTGGAAATGTGACTTGGTGGGAGGCGGACAAGCAGAGAGTGGGATGGGTGGGAGAAGGAAGAGACTGGAGACCACTGGGGAAAGCAGGAGAAACTGAGGCAGCACAGAGGGTAGTAGCCAAGGGACAGAGCTGGCAACAGAAGGTCTAGAAACTCGGGGTGATCTTTAAAAGGGCAGCATGTGGGGAACTCCAGTACCAGGGAAAAAGAGAATTCAGGAATTCAGCTCTAACCACTCTCCAGTAATCATGAATAGGCCTGGGAGTTGAGCAGTTTCAAATACTTTATAATTCTCTCTCTCTCTCCTATACCCTCCCCCTTTTATTGTATCATGTATGTGTAGAGATGAGATGAGACAAAGGAATTGGTTGTCTCTTTCTGGCTCATCGGTTCTCTTGTTTTTTCAGTGTTTTGAGACAGTCTCACTATACAGCCCAGACCAGTGTGGAACTTGAAATGCCCCTGCCTCCTTCCCAAGTGCAGGGTCGCAGGTATGTGCCATCATGCTGGTCTTTTATAATTCACTTTTGATTTGTTTTTGTTTCACTTTTCATTCCTGTATTTATTGTGTGTTTGTGTGTGCGCTCATGAGTTCATACACTCAAGTAGAGCACAACTCAAAGTGTTTGGTTCTCTCCTTCTACCACGTAGGTCCTGGGGTTTGAACTCAGGTCCTGAGTGTTGGAGGTTAAGTGCCTTTACCCACTGGCCCTACAATTTGCTTCTTCAAAACACATAAGACAAATTAACCTCAAAAGGGTAAAAAGCTAACAATGTTGTATCTATAGTCGGCATCTACAGTGTAGTTGTCATCTTTGTATATGAGGTTATAACCTGATAGTTTACAGGTGCAAAGAGAACAGGATGCCATGTTCAAGGTGACAGAGAAAGAGTCCCTCGGCACACACTAACCAGGCACAGCACACTCTGCTGCACTTCAGAGGCCACACACCCCGAAGGTAAGAGGTGGTTCCCCCATAGCCTGTCCAATCCTCGTTTGCACCTGGAATGCATTTGCACCCACTCCACTTACAGAGAGAGGAACCGAGGCTTTGGGGACTTAAGGGATATGCCTCTGGTCTCACTGCTCGCAAGCAGGGGTGGGGCCAGTACTCCAGCTGAGGAGTCTGCACCTTGTACTGCTCCACTGTGGCCCTCTAAGTAGCAAACATAAAAGCAAATCAAAGGGATCCATCACGTCCACCTGGGTCAGGTCACTGAGTCCCGCGTGCCACCACAGCTGTGCTGCCTGGCAACAAATCCGAAAGCTCGCGCACGTACTCAGGCTCTCCAGCAGCTCACGAAGGGTTTGCAGCCACAGGTGACACAGCTGCTCGTCGGCACTCCAGAAGGTCACCTGTACCCACTTCCAGCGATGATGGCTTGCTCGCTTCACACAGTGGACTGCACGGAAACCGACACGGGTTAGCGGGGTCTACAGCTACGGAAGTGAGACCTCGTAGACTGTACTAGCGGGAGCTCCATAAGGTGTCTCTTGTCTCCGCCTGTGTCGGCTCTCTACAAGAGTGCCGGGATCACCACTTGGGGACTTCAGCTGTGTCCCCCTTGTGAAAGGTCACCCCAGCTGGGCTGGTTGAGTTTGCACCCACCTCTCAGAGGCTCAGACTAGGACAAGAGATTCTCACCTGGGTACCCAGCTGAGCTCTACTGCCTGGCAGTTCAGCATGAGGCCGGGGGCGGGACTAGAGTATATAGAGCCTGGGAAACTAAAGCTGGGGCTCAGTCTATGTGGCTATAGGGAAGTCCTCACCTCTGCTGGGTGAGGTTTTTCTAGGTACAACCTACTGGGGGAGAGGCACCCACAACCCTGTAAGTAACCCCTCACCTACATCCTGTAAGAAAGCCCAGTAAAGTCATTGGTTCCCCAGAGTGACCTTTGGTGCTAAGTTGGGACCTTGGGAGGAGGGAGAATTTTAGCAACACATGGCGATTACTTTACATTCGAGTAGATGTTGACTAATTGCTATCAGAAAGAGTCTATGGGGCTGGAGAGATGGCTCAGAGGTTAAGAGTATTGGCTGCTCTGCCAGAGATTCTGAGTTCAATTCCCAGTAACCATATGGCGGCAAGGGACCATCTGTAACAAGATCTGGCACCCTCTTCTGGCTTGCAGACAGAACACTATATACAAAATAAATATTTCTTCAAAAGAAAAAAAAGAAGTCTCTGAAGATAAGCCAATCACTGACCTGATAAATACCCTTCTCTATAGTCTACATGGGGCTAAAGGGGGGCCTGGCAAGCACCGAACTCCCTCACCTGTGAATGCGAACGGGTTTTCCATTTTCTGCCATTGGCCACTAGAGGACTGTGTCTCCTGAACGTCTGTTTCCTCAACAGCGATGATCTCAGACACTGGCACAGAACAGGCATCTGCAAAGACACCACACTTAGATCCAAGGACCCATCAGAGTGGCACAGTGACCACCCCCCCAGCTCCAAAGGCTGCGGACACTCATTCCTTCTCTCGTAAGACACCCCCAAACAGAAAGGCCAGCTAGGGCTGAGACGGCTCAGCGGGTCAAAGTGCCCGCCTCCAAGCTGGAGGACCTGAGTTGGATTCCTGGGATCTGCATGGGTAGGAGGAGAAAACCAACTTCTACAAGTTGTCCTCTGAAAACCACCAGCACACCATGGCCCAAGTCCCCTCCCGTAAATAAAATGTAATTATTTTTTAAAAAAGAAAGGAGCCGCCGGGCGGTGGTGGTGCACGCCTTTAATCCCAGCACTCGGGAGGCAGAGGCGGGAGGATCTCTGTGAGTTTGAGGCCAGCCTGGTCTACAGAGCAAGTTCCAGGACAGCTAGGGTGGTTACACAAAGAAACCCCGTTTCGAACACCCCTCCCCCCAAAAAAGAAGAAGGCAGGTTAGACGTCATGTCACTCCCAGCTAAGCAGCAAGAGGCAGCTTGGTGCCATCGAGGCTAGGTACAGGCTGTGACTTTTCACGGGGTCTGCTCAGCCATTTAAGTGCTGATCTGAGTCCGTCACTGTACTGTGTATGACATGCACTCTGGACATGTTCTCTGTTCTGATGGGTAGAAACCCAGGTGGGATGGTAAACATATAATACAGGGCCACCGAGTATGTGACAGTGGGGAGTCAGCCTGTGGAGAAGGGAGGCTGGGGTCTGACTAGATACAGGATGACATGGATGGGCTCAGACGGAGCAGTGGTTCTCAACCTGTGGGTCTGGACCCTTTGGGGTCATATATCAGATATTCTGTATATCAGATGTTTACATTATGGTTAATAACAGTAGCAAAATTGCAGTTATAAGGTAACAACAAAATAATGCTACGGTTGGGGGTCACTATACAAGAGGAACTGTATCAAAGCTTCCCAACGGCATTGTCCAATGACGGGAAGGGTGAGAACCACTGGCCAAGAGGATAACAGCTCCAGACAACCTTCAGGTTTGATTCTGTTGTTTTGAGACAAGTAAGTTCTCACTATGGATCCCAGGTTAGCCATGCCCTGACTCTCAATCCTCCTGCCTCAGCCTCCTGAGTGCTGGGATTACAGCTCTGCTCCAGCAAGCCCGGTGCCAAACAATCTCTCTAAACCAGTAGCCCAGAGAGAGGCAGACTGACCCAAACTTGCTTGAAGCATGCTGCAATTATTTGGCTTGGATCAAAAGGAAGTTCTGGGCCGGGCACGCGGCCGTGGGAAATGACAGGTTTCTGACAGAAGCTGTGGGCTGAAGTGGTGTGGTCAGGAAGGTAGAGAAGATCACAGTCAGTAACGCCCTCTTTGAACACAGGCTGGACTCCAGAACGCTTCCTTATGAATCACGGTGTATTTTTGTATGGATGAATGCTGCCTGCTAGCTCCCTCGGTTGCCTCTGAACCCTGCCGTCTAGCTAAAAAGATCCTGCATCTCTGCAGCGGGTACACTAGCGAACCATGTTGTGTAGCGCCTGTGGTCCTTCTGTGCTAGTCTTCAAGCTGCTGCCATGGAAATTGGGTCATCAGAACCTGGGGAGGTGCAATCTGAGCTGGGAGAGGGTTGCAGCCAGGCCCCTAGAATCCCCAAGAGGCACACACACTGGGGAGGGGCTGAGCTGAGTAGAATGGAGCCTAGTGCTGTGTGGAGGCTGCTGTGCCAGCCTGGGTCTGGGGCCACCCCCAGCTCTCCTCAGGCTGCTGCCTCCTGGAATTCCCATTTTTTTCACCATTGTGTCTCCAAAATTCAGTTTGTATCTGCTTCTGATTCTCCCCTCCCTGACTCCCTGCCCCCCACAACACACACACACACACACACACACACACACACACACACACACACAGCGCCTCACCATACCTGCACAGGTGAGAGCTATTCAGGACAGTCCTTGTGGCAGATATCCGGACACCTACACAGCAAGTAGCTTTGCAACCAGCAGCCAGGTCTCCCACAGCTTAGTCACCTTCTGCATTTCTGGAGGTGTTGGCCTGGCCCTCCCGGACTGCCCTCCAAATCTTGCACCACTTGTACCTTGCACTCAATTCCCTGGACCCTCCTGACCTCTGACTGTCCACTTCCTGCAACACCAGGAGGTGTGAATCACCTGCCAGGTTCACAGCAGGTGCCCAGCAGTCGGGACAGAACAGTGATGAGGCAGCGAGTGACCCTTCGATAACACAATCTGTACTTTATGAGTCTCAGGTTTCAAGTATCTCTCCGTGCCTCTACCTCACAATGGTGGCCATCCATAAGAAACATGTGACATGCTGGGAGGTGGTGGTGCATGCCTTTAATCACAGCAGAGACAAGTGGATCTCTGTGAGTTTGAAGCCAGCCTGATCTGTAGAGCGAGTTCCAGGACAGCCTCCAAAGCTACAGAAAAACCCTATCTTGAAAAACTAAAGAAAGGGGCTGGGGTGGTGGTGGCGCACGCCTTTAATCCCAGCACTCGGGAGGCAGAGGCAAGCAGATCTTTGTGAGTTCGAGGCCAACCTGGTCTACAGAGCGCATTCCAGGACAGCCTCCAAAACAATACAGAGAAACCCTGTCTCAAAAAGCCAAACAAAACAAAACAAAACAAAACAAACAAACAAAAAAAAACTAAAGAAAGCAAGGAAGGAAGCAGTGACAGAGGTCGTGACTGCTAAGCACAATGCATAACAATGGAGTAAGATAAGCTTCCAATATTCAGAGGGCTGAGAGACGGGCAACACTCATGTATTACATCACAAAATAAAAGACACCAGTGACCCACTGGACAACTCACTTAAAAGAATGCCAGTGAGCCAGGCAGTGGTGGTGCACGCCTTTAATGCCAGTACTCGGGAGGCAGAGACAGGTGCTCTGTGAGTTCGAGGCCAGCCTGGTCTACAGATTGAGTTCCAGGACAGCCAGGCCTATTATATAGAGAAACCCTGTCTCAAAAAAACCAAAGAAACCAAAAAACAAAACCAAAACAAAACTCATTCAGAGGATTCAGAGGGAGGCTCGGAGAACCCAAGAAAGAAGAAGGCAGTGTCCCAGGTCATGTGCTGTGCTGGCCAGACCCCAAAGGCCATGCTGTACCAGGGGCACCACAAAGCCATGCAACCCACGTACATTCCATAGCTGCAATGGCACACAAGCCACGCCACAGTTCCTATGATACTGGCACTGTCCCTTGGTAGGAACAAAGCTCTAAAAACAGCATTACTCAGATACCCATGAGCATAACCCAAGGGCAGACTGGGAGGCAAAAAATAAAGAACTAGGGTGTCACATGAGTTGTCAGGAGGGACTCAGGTCCCGCAGGGAGGGACTGGGGAGGTCTGTGGTAAGGCAAGTGGCTCAGGAACTTCTGAGAGAGCCTCAGTAGGAAGACAGCAGCCACAAGGAGAGTAGGGGTGGGGGGATTCAGGGACAGGAATGTCATGGAGGGCCTATGAGACAATAGCATCTCCCTGCTGGGGACTGGGCCGAGCTGAAGGGAAGGTAAGGGGTAAGGCTCTGTCAATCACGAAAGGACAGTTCAATGACAGGTGACTTCCTATCAGGAAACTGGTCCAGCTGTGGGGCTTTGCCTTCTGCATCCCTGTGTAGCAGGCAAGGCCACCTCTGCACACAATGTCATGTTACAGGGAACTGATACTATCAGTCACAGAGGTCAGCGGGGACAACTGGGTGATGAGGAGTACAGAGACATTGGAGGAGATAACAGCTGGTCCTCTCAGGGCAGAATCCACCCCCCCCAACATGTGCTCTGCTATGCAGTCTAGATCGCATGGACAGGTGTCCACACACCCGGATGGCCTTGTGGACACTTGACATCAGCCACAGCAGCCGAGAATGAGGGGGGACCACTGGCAAATAACTGACTGAGAAGTGGGAATTCTGGGCCCTTTCTGTTGCCATAGAGTGCTAATATCTCTCTGGTAGGTGTCCTCAAACACTGCCAGCAAGGTTACAAAGTCCACAGAGACCTGAGATGAGAAGTGCAATTTTCCCAGCTGAGGCAGCCTGCGGGCCTATGTGATGCTGACAATAGCAAACAGGCCGCCCTGCAGGGATCTTTTACTAAGAAGGGAACGGAATGAGAAAGCCAAGGCTAGCCATAGCTCATCTGATCCGAGGATGGAGTCCTGGGCTGTCCAGGCAGCAGCTGGGATGCGCCCACAGCTGCCAATACTCTTGGGCCTTCCTGGCCCACAGCCGGAGCTTGCCAGGCAGCTTCTATGCTGAGGGTGTTACTCCAGGGTCTTCTGATCACAGGAGAACAGGGGTTGACAGTCATCAGACGAGTCCCCTTCCCTTTATAGAGTAGTGGCCTCCTCTAACTGTGAGTCAACTGTCCTCGATCATGACAAAAGATATTAAATACCTTTCCAGGGTCCCACAGTCAAACTAAGGGCCAGTCTTAGAGCAGGAGCAGTTGAGTGTCCAAGACACAAATTAGATGACAGATGCTATGGTCCCAAACCCCCATTAAGCAGTTCCCATCTGTCCCCACCTAGGTAGCACAGTGACGAGCCAAGCCTGCCACGCACTGTGCTGGTCACACACCTGACCTGGGGACACTGGGGACAGTGTCCCCAGGTGCTGCAGTCTGAAAACATGAAAGTAGGGCCCCCAACCTGTTATGGCTTCAGGGCTATTTCACTTTAAGCCCAGTGTCCAAAGACTACCCAATGAAGCAAGCGCCCACAAGTGTCCTTGCCTACCCCATTTGGAACTCTGGATGTATCCCCACCAACCTGGCCAATCCTGGGTCCAGCCTCGGACTCTTTATTACCAGCAATGGTTTTCAAATCATTCCACACACTTGACCAGAGGGCCTAGTCCACCCCAGTGCCTCCTTGCAGGTGACATGGGGACACAAGCTCTTAGAAGTCACTATTTTATTCAAGCCAGAGCAAGTTTCAGCTCCTGGCACTGTCTTTTGAGAAATCTACC